TAATACCTAACTACAAAAAGAATGCATGCCAAAGTCAGGCAGAAGACACATCCTTCAAATTCCTTCAAGGAGGGCTTGCTCTTTCTTGCTTAGCCCATATTCTCAGTGCTTAGGATGGATATTGGCCTATCACAGGTTCTTAGTACATGGATGAATTAAAATATCTAACAGACATTCATTAAGCTCAGATTATGAGACATGCGCACTTCCAAGCTATTTTTGGTATGTACTGTTGTCTGTCTCGCATTTGCCCCCCCTCCCCAAGAATCACATGCAGATGAGAGCCACAGCTGGAATGCAAGTCCTGCAAACTGTATCCTATGTGGAGAAGGGCTTTCAGCCTCAAGGAACAGCTAGATATATCTGTCTAGGCCCTCAGGTTTGTACCTCTTGACTTCCATGGAGGACAAGGGGTCTTTGCAATAACTCTTCCAAGAAAGAAGAAACTGTTTGCTTCAGAATTCTACCTTGCCCCACAACTCAACCTTTTGCTACTAACTGGCAGGAGTAACCCATATACCCACCTCTAATCCGCTATCTGTAACTAAGGTGAAATAATGCAATAACTATCTTTAGCCAGTCAAATTGGATCCAGGGACATGTTAAGAAGTGGTGGGGATAAGGCTTAATGGGGTCCAGCCCTACAGTAGGAAGCTCAACTTCCCCTGGAGCTCTAGTCTATCTGGAGATGGGTATCTAAAAATAAATGGAAGTTCAATAGTCTTGAAACTGTAGCTTGTCCTAGCCCCTATATAAACTGTTTTCCCCTCTATTTATATGTCTATGATCAAATTTATGTTATAGATTAGTCACAATAAGATAGTAACAATAATAACCAATAGAGAACTATGGTAATAGTTTATAGTAAGAACTATGTGAATGAGATCTCTCTTGTGCAAGTATTCCTCTCCCATTCTTCTCCTTTCTGGTGATGATGTGAAGATGCAGTGCCTATGTGGAATAATGAGGTGAGATGAGTAGTGTAGGCAAGGTTACCAAGTGTCAGCCTAACAGTCTACAAGAAGTAGTTTGTACAAACCCTGAAATGCTGCAACTATTGATCTGGTAGCCGTGACAGCTAGTAAGAGACTAAGAAGCCAGTGGCATTTACAGTGTGGCTATGCTGTTGGTCAAGGGATGACTCACGTCCCATGCTGCAAAGCGGAACTGTGCAGGATTTCATCACGCTGTTCAGACTGAGTGCAATATAAAAGCTGGGAATTGTTTACTTCTGAAAGCTTCCATTTAGAATTTGTGGGCCAAGGTTAACTACGGCAAACTGGAATTGAGAAATCAGCAGGTAGATATGCTCCAGGTAGTAACTATGCATACTATAACCCCCGTTTTAAAATTCCTACAACATCACCAATGCTCAGCCAAATTCCCAAAACTGTCTTGGCAAAATACCCCCGTATCCATCACCATGTGCCTTCAACCTGCTTTTCCTGGCTCACTCCTAGCCACTGAACATCCCCTGTCCTTGCAGCCTAGAACTAATCATCCTTTCCTTTTAGCATGATGCTTCTCAGCCATGTGGTTTGGCCATGCTGTCCTGTGCCCCAAGGCTTTGCAACACTCAGGAAGAACTGTAGCACCCTCTGTAAACTCTGCCCAATCCCCACTCCCTCAGCTGAATGCGGATGGAGCTATGGCTTCCCAGTACTGCCCAGAATCTCCATTCCAGGGACCCTGAAGAATGCTGTGGTAGCCAAGCCGCCCTTGTCCCCAAAAACCAGGCAGGGCATCTGAAAGATAGATGTTTTTCAGCCTATTTTTAAAACTGAATTTATTTTTAGGCAGTATACAAGCTAATGGATTTCACTGAAACATTTTCACATATATACATCATTACACTTAATTATCCATCCAACTCACCTCTTGCCCTCTCCCCCTCCCTTGCTGAATCCCTACCTTCAAATAGTCCATCCTTTGCTTTTATGTCAAATATATTCCGTTAATCCCTTTCCCCTTCCCCCTGCTAGTCTTTGAAAAAAAAAAAGGAAGTAAATGAAACCTAATGCTAAATATTCTCAATGTCCTGACAATTCTCTTCACAATTTCAAAGTGGGTATTTGTTGATAAAATCATCTGTTTGTTTTCTATTTCCCCCTTGAAAAAAAAATATATGCTCTGTGGGGACCATGTCTCTTGCTCACCCCCACCCCACACCTGTCCCAAGGGCTTAATAAATATTTGGTGAATAAATAAAACATCTGGGGTTCACAGCTGCCTGCAAAAAGCACATCCACCATTTTTCCATCAATTCGATCTCCTTCACCAAGTAAATAATACTGCTGTAGGAATAGAGAAGAGATCTAGCCTTTATTCCAGGCATCTTTTTATAGCTTCCGTTAGTGCAGAGGCACAGACCCGAGTCACGTGATTTTGTATTTAGAATATTAATTTTCCCTAGGTCAGGCAGAAGCAGCAATACTTTCCTTAATGAAATGCTCTTGTACTAATTTCTATTTGTATGCAAAGGATGTCATGGGTTTTAACACATTGAGACAGTCTCTCCCAGCTAGATCTGCCTTGCGAAGAAGGGGAAGGCATCTGATTTATTACATATAAGCACAATGAATAAGATAACATTTTATTAGTTAGAAACCATTATAAAAACAGCAACGAAATGGGGTAGTACAAGTGGAAGACGCCCTTATCAATAAATCCTGGGCAAGTTTAGGACCCTGGTACATGTCAGAATAATAAAACAGATAATTAAAAGGATCACATTGCAGACCTGTATCATTTCATCAGGAGCTTTGAAACAATAGGAAACACCAGGGCAGCCATGGTCTGTTAATTGCTAACCTTTTGGAAAGAAAAGACATTTGTAGTTCAAGTTAGTTTAGTACATGTGAAAAAAAATCCATTTTTAGGTTCTATGGTGTTTGAAACATTCAAATCCAAGTAAGGGACGTCTTTCACATCAATGCATTTCGGGGTCTGGTTTCTGATGGTGAGACAGTAATGGTTTTATGAAATTAGCCATCCTGTCAATTACGTGTATCCTAACTAACAGCAGTAGGTGACAAAGACTTGTTTTTATCATTTTCTCTGGAAAAGACTCTTGGTTTTTCTTCCCTTGTCTAAGAATCTTCATTTCATCCCCCAAAAATCCTTATGACACATGGAAAATACTTTTTTATATGAAAAGCATGGCAAGGAAACACAGAGCTGGGAGGATTTTCATTTCCCAGAGAGCTGTAGTCAGTTTTTAGAAAGTAAATTGTGTCCTGTCCTCCCTCCCCAGGTCAGTGTCTCCCTCCCTCCTCCTGGTCAGTTTAATATGAGTCACCACCAAGGCTTTGTTGTGTGGAATAACATTTTCTCCTGGGACTCAGTTCATGCAAAACACACCCTGCTGAGAGAGTGGAAATCTACCCATAAGACATTCTCCCAGCAGCAAGACCCTGGAGGAAACCTGATCAGAATGTTTAACGACTTCACTGCCTCCTTCGCCTTTAACTCCCCCAAATTACTCAGAGTGGGAAAAAATATTAAGTCAACCACATATTTAAGGCCGATCATACCAAGTGGCAACAGATACAGTGAGGTATGGTCTGATTTAGAAACAAAAAAATCTGAAAATGAGCAGATTATTTCTGTTATTTTCCTGACAATTTCTGTTCTTTCTCTCTTTCTCCCCACTTTGTTTATAGTTACTCTGCAGTCATTCAATTGATCAATTTGTGAATATTTCTAAAAAAGAAAATTTAACTGTCACAAACTCAATAAGTTACATTAAGCCAAGTAGGTATTATTCTGCAACATTTTGATAAATTCAGATGTATTTTATGTGGTGTGACATGGATTACCACTAAAATAATATATGTGTTCATAAGTGGATAAACCACAAGCATGATCTGTTGAGACTGCCTCACAAAAAGTGTTAGAACAAGCTCATCTTTGCAATGCATACAGATATAATACAGTTAATAAGACAGTATGAATGCAATTTACAATGATAATACAATTATAATACTAAAGCAATTCTATGTAACTAGTAGTGTGACACAATGTAAGGTACAGAATATATGCATGCATGCATCTAGACACACACATACAGACACACACACACACACACACACACACACACACACACACACACACACCTATCTGTACACATACTGTTGTTTTTAAGGAATCAACCTAATGATTATAGAAAGCATGGGAATGGGAGCCTGGCCCAAGAATTTTGTTTCTCTGTCATCAACATTTACAGGATGGTTATGTAAAACCTTGGAAGGAAAATAACATCGCACCCAAAGCAGCTCACATCTTAGAGAAAGACCAGACAGAGCCGGCAAGAGGCAACAGCTTGAGCAGGCATCAAAAGATACCCGGCTTGATGGTCAAGCAACAGAGGTTTGATAGCTCATGATCCAGACATTGCATCATTTGCCTCTCTTCACCGAAAACATTTTTATCTAGGTTTTCAACTCTGTACTTAGAATACACTCCACCATAGGATGCAGTGCTGTACAGTGTATGCCTGTATAAAAGCCCTGTTACAAATTTCAAAGTTTGCAAACTGGAAGAATAAGTGAGTGGTTCATTTAATTTATTTTAATCAGTTCTATCAGGAAAATGCAACTCTATTGAAGGCAAACCTTTGCAGAAGCAGGGAGCAATTATGCTTTGCGTGTGGAGTGCTCTTTTTAAAAAGACCATGTGTGCAGCATTAAAAAAAAAAAAAGCTTAGCAATGTCAATCATCTTGATTTCACATTCCTTTAGTTCAGTCCTTAAACACTGCAAAAATTATAGAAAGCTAAAACTGTTTCTCCCAAGATTCTGTGCAGCTGTTTTCTGCAGTTCTTGAACAGATTTCATATAAATGCATTTCCACAGGTACCAGTTCTTTAGGTAAAAGCAACCACAGTGACAATCTTGTGCTCCTTTTATGTAGGTATTCTCACATATCTTCAAGAGAATAATTCACCAAACAGGTCCCATGAACAAGCAGAACTTTCACTAAATTTAAGTAACAGCTCCTACCTGTTACCATCATGCTTTGCAGGAGTCACTCTGAGGCTGAGAAGTAAATGGCAACCATTCAAAATGGCAGCTGTTTTTAAGGAAATGTGTTATATTGTTGAAGACACTGGTGGGAAGTAGGAATAACATCTCTGCAATACATAGCAACTTCCAAAGACAGATCTAAGATCCTGTCTCCAGAGAGAGCATAGATCAGGAAATCTCCCCTCTCCCTCCTTTCACGGCTTTGAATAGCCTTAAAATAAAGCCTGTGTGGCTAAATGGGTAAACGCTGCCAAGCCCGACAACCAGTGTTAAACCCTGGGAACCACACGGTGGAAAGAGAGAATCAGCTTCCGGAAGTTGTCCGCTGACCTCCACACATGCATCATGTCATATGCTCCCACCGTCACCACCACACACACACACACACACACACACACACACACACACACACACACACACACACACTACATAAATGTAAATAAAATAAAGCCAATGCATGCACCTCACAAACCAAGACAGTCATGCTTCCTTTCTATCTGATGTAAGTGGATCAACTCTGAGCTCAAGATTGAGTGGAAATCTCTGGAGATACAGTGACATGTACCCTGTCTGGGTATGATTAGCAAAGGCCTCCAATTAAAGCGGGCCTATCGATGGCTTGTGACTGTAGCTGATTGCACACATTCTCATTACTACATATAGTCTTAGCTTTGGGTCTTCCTGGACCTGGAGCACAGGAAATTGTATACATTTCATTATTATTAGAAATTCAACCAGCAGGTTGAAACTTTGAAGAAATACTTCAAATCTCCTGGAAGAAATAAATCACCTAAAAGTAGAGTAAGTTTCCTACTTAGCCCTCCCTTGCTTAGAAGCAGACTGAATTCCCAAAGTCTGTTGGTGAGCCAGTGGTTTAGTATTCAGAACACATTTCCCAACAGAAACAGTTGCAGACATTACCACTGCTTTCCTAGTTAGAAAGAAAAAAAAAGTTAACTCCTAATGTGCCAGAAACAAGTGCTAATGCTGCAGTGACATGATGTAAATACATCATTCGGCCATTTTTGTTACTATAACTGGAGAGAGAAATATTTTAATTTAAATTTTAGAGCAGACTCCTGAAAGCATGTCTCTCACCCTGCTCTCCAGAATCAGTGACAGACAAGTCACTGTGCAGCAGGGAAGCCCAGCAAACACATTCAGATGCTGGGTACTTATTAACTCTCACAGCCCTGGAATTGCACAGCAAAGGGGTACCGACTGTATCCTGTGCTATTCATTACCCCCATCTTGATTCAGGTAATAAAATGACTGTATAACAGACTACTAGTTAGCCGTGTAACCTTAGGCTGTTTAGTTACTCTCTGTGTGCCTCAGAGAGTTGTTTTAGAAATAAGCATGACTGATTTTTCTGCCATAGACACTAGCTCTCTGTCCTTAGTGGTCTCTCCACCACTTTGACATGTCCCCAACCTGGTTGCGCTTGAGGGGATGGGGTAGGGGAATACTTTCTCTCCTCCAGTTCTTATTTGTCTTGTGTAGGTTATGTTCCACCTCCAACCCTACAATGTGATCTGAGCCTGCCAATCAGAGGTGGCTTCTAGGGGTGACATCATGGAGACAGCTTCAAAGGCAGGCCATCTCCCTGAACGGATCCAATGGCAATGAATCTTGGGATATTTTTTCCAGGAAGTTCTACATAGACATGTTTTTCTTGCCAGGGTCTAAGCCTGAGAAGATGCCTTCAAAAGCATCTGGTAGCCATCTTCATTCAACCCAGTGATTCTCAGTGTGTCACTGAAGACCCTTAGCCATATCTAGAAGCATTTTTGATTGTCACAACTCTGGGGAAGGGACTGTTCTTCTCATCTAATGGATACAGCCAGGGATAACTAAACATCCTAAAATACAGAGGATGGCCTCCCCAATAAAGAGGGTCTCCTTCCACAGTGTCAGTTCTTGGGCTCAGAAGCCTTCTCTGTTTCACTGGTAAATCTCACAACACCAAAGAAGCAGAGCTGAGGACCAGAAGCATTGGCAAATCCTAGCTGCATTCTCAGGTTGATTTTTCTGTCACTTATGGATGGATGAAATTACTAAGTGCAGAACATGAAACACTTGCTATACAGTAGGCACTCAATAACCAGTGACTCTTTCCATTAAAGGTGACCATTCACCAGAGAACCAGGACTAAGAAACCTCAGAGGTGCAAATACTCAAGTATCAGTTACTGTCTACAAAAGAGCCACATATTTGTTCCCCATGTCACACATCTGTGCCATCAGTTGGTCTGAGTACATATCAGTGCATTTTACATTTCTGATTTGTACTCAAAAAACAGACTCAGAAAATGGTGTTGTTTGAGTCTGAAATTTACAATGCTCTCTGGTTTAGAACTCGTTGAATTAACTCCACGCATCTGATAGAAGACTCAAAAAATTAAAAGAAAAGATATTCATGTGGCACTAATTATACCAGAAGTCATGATTCTGAGAGGGAGTATGGAGAAGGAAGGATTTGGGAGAGAGGGAAAAGTAGAAATTGTGTAATCACAATGTACTCATGTAGGAAATTCTCATTTTTTTAGTTTAAAGGTTTATATTCCAGACTTTTCAGCTCTTGTATTTCTAAACTATGTCACAAAAGTGAGTGATATCAGAGACTTATCAACAGGATAATTTAAAGATTTTTTTTCCTTATTTTTAATGTTGCCAATTCCCCTAAAGGTGGTTAAACTGTAATATACTTGCCAATTCAAAGTAATTATAGCATTTCTTGATTCTGCAAGTCTGTAGCTTTATGGGCATAAGTTTCACAGCATTTTCATCCTCTAAACAGTTCGTGCATTTTCATTCCTCTGTAATATATGAATATCTTACACTAAGATATATTATAGAGATGAAACCATTATTCAAGATGATAATCTTCTATACTAACAGAATCACTATTTGTAGCATACAAGACTAAATAAATGTCTCCCATGAGTGAGTAAATGCAAAATAAAAAGTAACCACTCAACTTTAATAGTTTAAAAAATGCTATTAAACATAATGGCTTCTTGACATTCAAGTAGCACTATGTTTTAAGTGATCTTTGTTCTTAAGAACTACTTTATTTTCATTTTAAATATTGATGGCAAATCAGGATCTCCCGAGTATGGAGACATAGGAGGAAGCTCTCAGCAGAAAATAAATTACCATGGACCCTGGAGTTCCAAGGTGCTGGGGTTTTATTTTGGTTTTGTTTGGTCTTGTGTTTGTGTTCTCCTGAGGCTGTGTAATAAGGTCATATAGATGAAGAACTTGAAAATGGACAGAAGTATCTTATTTCTCAAGCTTTTCTTCTCTCTCTCCATGGCACATACTTCAAATCACTTCTTTGCTTTCTTGACTTTGACCTTAGGGGACCCTCTGATATTCTTCACATAAGTTGAAGACCAAGATGCCCCAATGACTCAGCCAGGGAATAAATTGTACATAGAAAGGCTCCTCGAAGAAGAGGAGGGAGGAGAGAGATGGAAAGACATCCAGGGGCCTTTATCACCTCTGCAGGTCTACACTGGTGTCAAGCTCTAAGGGAAAAGAACACTTTAAGGACGTGGCAAGTGTACCTATCCATGCCCAGGGTTAGCCTGGGACTATGTGTTATGGGTACTTTGAAGTTGTGTCTTATACCCTACTCTAATTTAGCAGGTCAAAAAAAACAATCCCCCCTGACATGGCATTCTCTTCATTATACCAAATGCATGATATTACATCGCCATCAGCCTGGACTCAGGGTAATCTCAGGTAGGAGCATAATTCTCAAGTGAAGACCAGAGTAGGTTATGGGCTGAGACTGAAACAAAAGAACCCAGTGTCTGTCTGCTAGACTCTGAGCTCTCCAAGGGCAGCCCTAGGTCAGTGTCAACCTGACAACGGGTATGTGGTGTGCCTAGTGCCTGAGAGTGCCCAGTGTCCTGTTGGTATACAATCTATTAACAACTCACTGGGAGAGGAAAAAATTAACTGCTGCTCAAAGTTTAGAGTAAGTTGCCTAGCCTTCTTAGATTTGCCCTACTCGAAAGTAAGGAAATAGATTAAATAAACAAGTTCTCTGGCCCCACATAGCCCAGTGAATTTATTAAGATATGCCTTCTATGATTTTAGCCTAGCATTCCAATTTCATAGAGGTCCAACTAACCAACTGCCTTTTCTTTGTGTGGCATCACTTAACGTCATAGTTGGGAAAAATTAAAAACATGAAAATATTTGCTAGGTTAAGACATATTTGAAGTGACTGTCCAAGTTTATACCACGCCATCTCTAAAGATGGCTCTATTGAAGTTACCATCCAACTGGGGGTAATTTCGTCGTCGTTTTTTGGTCAACAACTTGATTTGTTCTGCATTGTCAAAGATTTCATTCTCAGCTCATTGATCTGCTAAAGTTGATGTTATGCAATAGGAAAAAAAATGCCAAATCATAAAACTTCCACAGAGAACTGACCAGCAGGACACCATAGCCAGAGCACAAATACTGGCATGACCTCTGTTAGAGCCTGGACTCTTGTACCACACTTGACCGCCTTGAGCTGCAGGATTCTCTTCTGTGATGGGGCAGTAGTTCTTGCTACATTGCATTGTGAAGATAACAGGAAATGATACACGAGAAAGTGCCCACAGCTTACAGTAAAGAGTAGCAACTGTTATTGTTTAAGACCCTTCACTTACTCTCACATAGGAGGAAAGAAATGATGTAAGGGATAAAACAGGAATCAATAAGTTCTCTTTGGAAGATGGGAAATTGAAAAATCTAAGAGAGAGACTACATTTAGAGTTTGAAAATCCAGACTATCTCCTTTCTTTATCAAATACATGATCTGGGGCAAGTCATTCTATCTTCCAGAACCTAGCTTCCTCTTCTGTAGAATAAGATTAATCATAGACCCTAGGAAGTATCCTGTACATTTACATGTGCACTTGTGTGTGTGTGTGTGTGTGTGTGTGTGTGTGTGTGTGTGTGTGTGTGTGTGTTATTCATGGGCATGCATGTGCAAGTGTGCAGGCATGTGATGTAGAGGCGAGAGGTCTACATGGATGTTTTCCTCTATTGCTCTCCACAGTATTTCTTCAGTCAGAGTCTCTCACCGAACCTGAAGCTCACCAATATTCCTGGCCAGGGAGCCCCAGGAATCCTCCTGTTGGCACCTCCTCAGCTCTGGGATTATAGGTACCCTTGAGCATCTGCACTCAGGCATTTTTATGCAGAT